TATCTTACTACCTAACAACAAGGAAACAGATTATTTTGAAGCCTTTTTTCTATTATAATACACATATTTATATATAAATTTTCTTCTAGTAAGTACTTTTAGCTGCTTCCCATAATTTCAGAAATGCTTTATATCCATTATTATTTATTTAAAATAATTTCTAATTCTCATGATTTCTTTTTTTAAATTTAATTTCCAAGTATTTGGATGTTAGTTGTTTGATTTCCAAATATGTAGTCTTTCTCAATAAATCATATATTTATTGTGTTCTACACTGAATATCATATTGTCTGAGAATGTAGTCATTAAGATGCCAAACTCTAGAAGTTTATTGACACTTATTTGTGGCTCAGTGCATGGTCTCTTGGTAAATGATTATCTGTACCTGAGATAGTTTGTCCTAACATTTTTTACTTCTGCACATATAGATCGATCCAATTTATGATTATGGATTCTTGCATTTCATTTTTTTTTACTATTTCTCCATGTATTTGAAGTACTGTAATTAGGTGCAGTCACATTACAAAATTTTTATATCTTTACATTTTATATCTTATAAGTAGACATTTTAATAATTATGAAGATGTCTACTTAATCTCAGATGAAACTTTTGGTCATAAAATCAACTTTGTCTCCAATTAATAAAGCTACAACAGCTTTCTTATGCTTACTCTGCATTTATATGTTTTTACTTTTTTTACTTTCAACCAATTGGTATCTTCATTTAAAAGTAGATTGCTGTATAACTAAAAAGAATCAATAAAAAGTGAGTTTCTTCTAATAAAAAAAAATAGTAGATCACTTATAAATAATTATATAGATGAGTGTTTTTATCTTGGCAATTGCACTTTTTAAGTTGTTTAGTCCATGTATACAACATAGTTACCATTATGGATAGGTTTTGCTATGTGTTTTTTTTCTCAGAAACTTCTTAGCCTACATTTTTTCCTGTTGTCTTTTGTGTTATACACAACTATTTTTCACTATTCCACTTTATTTCTTCTGTCATCTTTTTAGCTATAACCTTGTGTATTATCTTTTTATAAGTTCATGCTTTAGTGATTGCAATRCATACATTCTAAAATTATCACTATCTTATCAGAGTAACTAATATGATACTTCATATACAGTTAGGAGAACTGCAATAGCATAGTTCAATCTATGCCTCTCTTTTGGGCTTTTATTTTCCTTTATTGCTTGTAAGCCCCACAGTACAATGTTGTAATTTTTGATTCAATTCGTGTTTTAAAAAAAGAAATGAAGAAAAAAGAATTTTACAAATATATGCACACACATACATACATATGTATATACATACACTGACACACATCACAGTCTACAGTTGAAATGCATGTGTATATTTATATACATATACACATATTTATATGTGTGTATACATATACACACACATATATACATCCACACATTCACACACACATGAACATATATATACATGTGCCATTTATAATAACCTTCAATTCTACCCTGTCAATTTGCCCTTTGCCTGAGTAACTTCTTCTACAGAACTACTAGTTATAAATTATCTTTTAAGATATTTTACTTAAAGATATCTGAAAATTTCTTTACTTCCATAATAGTTATAGAAATGGGTTTTTTTAGAACTTTAGTGTAGTACCTTTTTTGAATTGTTTTTTTATGAGAATGTAATCATCCTTTGTATATTTGTTCTTCTATATATAATGCATCTTTAATTCACTAGCTGATTTCAAGATGTTCTTTTTTATATTTCTCTTTCAACGGTTTTAACATGTATTAAAAAAACACCTTGGCCTGTAGACCAAATCTGGCCCATAGCCTATTGGTGTATGGCCTGCAAGCAAATAATTTACATTTATAAATGTTTGTTGGTATAAGAGGAAGGATCAGTAAAAGGATGATGGGAAGAAGAGGAGAAACAAAGACCTTAAATGGCTTACAAAATCTACATATTGCTATCTGTCTCCTTATAGCAAAAATTTTTCAATCTTAGACGGGGATGTGTTCATGTTTGGATTTCTTTGTGCTTATCTTGCTTGGTTTACTGAGCTTATTGAAATTAAAAAACTTATTTTAATTATTTCCCATTTAGTACATTTTAGGCCATTAGTTCTTTAAAAAATAAAGACTCATTCTTTCTCCTTTACTTCTGGGACTCCATCTATATATATTTAGCTTACTTGGTTATATTCTATAGGTCACTGATGCTAATTTCTTAAAAATATATATCTTTTCCTATTCTCTAGATTTTATAATTTAATATATCTGATGTTATGCCATTAAATTGCCACTTTTCTTTCTGCCATTTCTAACTGGAATTAAGTATATCCAATGAATTTTAAAACTGAAACATTTGATTTTCAGCTATCTGGAGTTCTCAAGTTTCTTACAGTTTCTATTTCTCTACTAAAATACTCCATGCATTCACTCATTGTGAATGTCATTTATTTTATGTTGGATATATTTGCAGTACCTGTATTGACTTCTTTGTATGTCAATTTAAATACCTGAGTCACCTCAAGGTTTACTTTTATTGACTTCTTTTTCTTAAGCAATGATCACATTTTCTTTGTTTCTTTTTTAGAACTAATAATTTTATTTTCATAGGACATTTTGGATAACACAATGTAAAGACCCTAGATTTTTGTTACCTTCCTCTGAAGATTTTCAGTTGTATCCTAGTTGGTAGTCAGTGCATCAAATAACACCTGGAAATTGTAAGGCTTGTTTTTACCCTTTGTTTGGTCAGTTTGATGGAATCTCAAGGTGTTCATCTAACCATGTTGATTGAAACTCCAACTTCTGATTATTTTATGATATGCTGCACCTGAAAATTGCTCAGGTGATTCAGCTTTCTGGTCATTGCTTTTTACTGAATTTCTTGGCATTTGCTTGAAGCATCTTTAATAATGGATTAGTTAAGCATTTGTGGGATAATGATATGTAGATTTTGGTTCTGTCCCTCTGTTAATATGGATCTTCTTCAGTACATTTTTTCCCCTTAAAACATCAAATTCTTCTAGTTTCTGCCTGTTTTTAATTGTTCTTACACATCCTCAAGATTCAAGCTTATCCTCTGATTATGTGTTGCCCCATGTAAGACACTGCCATAATTGTAACKACAAGGTTGATCAAATTTTTATTAAAAGTCAAGTAATGAATCTGTCCCTAGCATTTGGTACTTTGATACTTATAAAAATACTTATGCTAAAGTAAATTTTTAAAAACACATATTTGCAAGCACTTAATATTTGGGTAGAAATAAAATTTTATGTATTGAAACTTACAAGTAAAGTAATTTATTTCTATGATCATCTTAAAATTGYCTTAAATTTGATTTTATATTTATTGACTAAACAATGTACATTTATTTATATATTCATATATTTTGTATATGAAATACATATAAAATAATATTTACTTAAAGAGCCATTTATTAATCAAAATTATTACTTTAATAAAATTAAAAATCAAGGTAAAGTAGATATGTTTATAGAATCTCATAAATTAGAAGTTTTGCTGAACAATCTGATTAACTTATATTCTTCCAATTATCACAAGACATGATAATGAATTAAAAGGGCTTAGTTTACTAAAGCTCATCATTAAGATCATAAATCATATTTATGAGTCTAAATTTTATTCAATAGAATTTTTTTGTAATATGTTACTGAGGGTATGCTTTGTTTTGTTTTGTTTTAGTGCCCTGATAGTTCTTCTGGATAGAAAGCCCTCTTTCAAATTATTTACTCATGTATTCATATATCCAACTCCACTTTAAATGTCCCTTTTTTTGGAAAATATTATTTAAGTTTATTGTGTTATAGGGGTATCCTTTTTCTTTTTCTCAATAAGGTTCTGTTTGTTTGTCATTTTTATCACTGTGTATATTTTCTTCAACCCGAGTCCTTCACATTTGTAACCCCTATAAGCTCATTTTAGGTAGAGACCATGATTCTTATATTAGCTATGTAGTTCTTACTTCAAAATGGGAAAAGAATGAATGAGTCTAAAGCAAATGATGATTTTGGAACTGCTCTGTGATCTTAACTGATTCATATTCAATCACATGAGTAAGCAACTGTGATTTTAACATTCTGAATTATATTAGCAAATGAGTTTTCACTAATAAATTAAGTTTAATTATAAATATATATGAAAGGCATATTTTATTAGTKGAAAATGTTTACATAGCTATATATATATTTAGTAGCATTTCAGTATTTTCTGGACAACTAATTTAGGTATTTTTATTCTTTTCCTATTCCATCTGGAAAACAAATGTTTCATATATAGTATATGAATGTAGTCTAGGTTTATTTCATTAAAATATTCTAGCAGGAAAAGTTAGTAGTTACATTAATCATTTAATACATGCCAGATTCTTATGAGATTTTTATATATTATTCCTTTTAATTTTGATTTATGTAACATCACTGTAGTTGTTTTTATTACCCTTATATTAGAAGAAAGTAAATAAATCACACACAGCTTCACAGCCAGTAAGTGGTCACACTGGGATATAATCTGAAGTTTTCCTAATGGCCCAGGTCACATTGTTTCCTCTCAGGTTATGCAGCCTAACAGYCAGGAAGGCCTCATTATAAAATATATATTAGAATATTCCCAATAAATATCATTGTTATTTTTCTCTGTTATGTTGACARTACTGTGGTGATAAAAGAGGTGCATCCTTAAATGCATAGTTTTTAAAGTCTCTTTATCAGGGATTTTCTCTACAAAATTCAACAAAGGATTAAAAGAGATGATATTTAACTGCTGAATGTAGGTAACAAATAAGTTTATTGTAATCTTCTCTATGGATAGAGTTAGAAGAACTTGATTTTAGAAATAGCATGTGTACTAAAGTTCATTTCTTGTAACTTTTCTCAAAATAATTTATTTTGTATTATTAAAACCAATTTGTCCTTAAAAGTGGCTGAAATGACAAATATTGGTGTTTTTATTACATGTGATGAAAAATATTTCAATATTTTTATTAGGTATCACCAAATTATCCAAGACCATGCCAGCCTTGTCATTGTGATCCCATGGGTTCCCTGACTGAAGTCTGTGTCAAGGATGAGAAATACGCTCGCCGAGGTGAGAGCCGCAGAGAGCCACTGCCCTTAGGAAGTCACAGGGAAGGCCAGCCTCCAGCATTTTCAGAACAACTCACAGTGAATTCCACTCACATGATGCACATCCTTCAATTTATCAATGTACCAGTTTTTCCCTGCAGGGACCAGATTTTGTTGTGTCGAAAATTAGTTTTATGTGAAATTATAATCTCTTAAAAGCAAGAAGAGTTTAGTCATTTCTTTATATATTATTATATATGGACAAATACACATACACACAGATATAGACACACTTGCAGAGTTATGTGTCTCTTAAAAATGGCATAAATTCTGAGAAACTTGTCATTAGGTGATTTTGTTGTTGTATAAATGTCCTAGAATGTACCTGTAGAAACTAAAACTTTACCAGGCAATATAATGCTATGAAACCACGACATCAATAGTATATGTGGTCTTTCCTTGACCAAAATGACATGCAGTGCATGACTCTTTGTGTGTGTGACTGTGTGAATGTGTGTGTGTATGTGTGCATGTGTAGAGAAACAGGGAGAGACTGTGACTCAATCACAAGTCTGTGATGTCTCTACATTATTTTGTGTGTCTCATTATTTATTAGACAGTTTGTAGCCTCTGTGGCTGCTAGTGTAAAATGGCAGCATTCACTGAAGGGTGTGTATGCTACAATGGAAAGAAAACAGGGAAGAGCATATAGTGAAATGGAAGCAATAATATGGAAAGCAAGAAGTGTACATAAAGAGCTATAAAAGATAGTAGTCATGAGTTAAAGGCAAAGAGGCTGATGTTCACTTAAGCCAAATACTTTGGGAAATAAAATCCACAATGAACTCCAAACATCAAGGAATCAAATCCCAACCTAACTTCTTAGTATAAAACGCTTGGGAGCTACTTCTAGGGCAGTCATTTGCCAAGTTTAAGTAGGAAATTCATAAAATGTATCTGGAGCCATTTCTTTATATATCAACGAGTGAATTCTTGTCTTCTTTGGAAAGACTAAAATAAATCATGGCTACAATATAGGGTTTTTTTCCCCTCTAATGACTTTAGAGTAGAAAGACTGGCAGTGTTTCTCTGGTATAGTTCAGCCTACCTGCTTTCTTTATAAAACTGCAGACTTGCTTAGCAATTTGAGCATTATATGCAGTCTTAAATCTTCAAAGATTAAAAGCTAATGTGTTTTAATATTTTAATAATGATTACTGAGGTCACTTTTCATTTTAAGACCCCTTYCCTTTTTCTTTYCTTTTTTGTTTCAGTAACAACAAAATCACAATGTTATTTTCAGCAATATCATTTATCCTCTGTCTCCTTTTAATAAGTATATCATTGTTGAAAAAGTTATGTAAAAATGTAAGAAAATAACTACAATGCAGTGGTATTTCAGCAGAGATACTACTGTTAACATTTTGCATGGTTTTGTCATAATGTATAGAGATTTTTATAATGCTTCTTTTTACTTTACATATGAGTTTTCTTATTATCACCAAAACCTTCTCTAAAATCTGTTTTCAGCACCTAAATAATACATTAGAATATGGTTATACCACAATTACCCACTGAATTTAATGTAGACATTATTATTTCCAATTTTTGTGTATTATAACCAATTATTTAATGAATACCATTGTATATAACTATTTTTCAATTGAAAGAATATGTGGTGCATGATTTAAAAGGAAGGGAATAAAATAACAGGCAATAGTATCCTTGTTGATCTCCTTACCTCCGATCTTCTTTCCAAATTTAACTATATTGAGTTTTTTCTTCTACTCAGTTCCTATAAATTACCCAGTATCTAAACAATATTCATTCAAGCATTTTGTCAATATAACATATTGCATATTGATTCCATATTGAAATGCAATGAAATGTGTTATTCATACCACCTACCTTTTATCCACTATCCTTACCTTTTTAATATATATTTCTTCTAAATATCTTCATTATGATAAATAGAAAGCTTAAATATTTTATAACCTTTTAAATTTTGACTCTATCTTGAGGTCCTACAATGACAGATCAGAAAAGTATCATCCTTACACTGTGCCTTGCCAGGTGTGGCAATTACATACTTATCTTTTCAAAGATTTTACCAAGTTATATTTGTGTCTTTAGATTAGTAATTAATTATTATAATTTAAAAATATAARCATAATCAAGATTGGCATTATTATCATCATTGGCATTAATATCAGATGCATATTATTCAATACAGACACGAGTTGTAAAATTGGCCACACTCTTGTAATACACTTTACCTTCAGGCTTGGTCTGATTTCRTAATCTCTTTAGGAAAGAGTCCAAGATGTAGTCTAATGGTTTGAACTACTTTATCAAATTGTGTCACTAAGCAGTAAAAGAAAATATATTCCACTGCCTTTTTGGCATTAATTTGATTACTAATAACATATAAATGTTTCTTTTGTGAATTATCTGTTTTCTTTGTTTTCTGCCAGTGTAAGGTAGTCTTAAGATTTTTAAAAGCCCTTTAAATATTAAAAATAATAATAGATCCTACTTGTTATAAACAATTTCTGTGTCTCACTGGTGTTTATAAGAATTTCTAACATATATTACTTAAATAATTTTTATATAATCAGCTCTCAGAATTCAGATAATTGTCTTTAGCTATAATCCTGGCACTATGTGAGATTATTATATTATAATAATATGTCCTATTTGTTATAAACAATATCTGTGTCTCACTGGTGTTCATAAGAATTTCTAACATACAGTACTTAAATAATGTTTATATAATCAGCTCTCAGAGTTCAGATAATCATCTTTAGCTATAATAATGACACTATGTGAGATTATTATATTTTAAATGTTTTTCTAAACTGAGTTTCTTCCTACCCTTTATAATCTTAGAGATATTGTATCCCCAAATTAGATGAATATATTTATTTCCTTCATTTATGATTTCCTTTTATAATACCTAATTGATTAATCTATCCGCAAATGATTTTGGTAATTTTATAAGGAAAGTTTCTATCTATATTTTGTTTCTGAATGATTTCTTTTGTTTCACTGATATTAATACTATCTCTTGAAACATATTAAATATGATTACTTCATATTCTGTATAYATTAGTAGTGCCATTGTTACCTGAGTCTGATTCTGCAGTTTGCTTTTTCTACTCACTGCTAATCATTGGAGTTTCATTTTCTAAAATGTTTTATAAGTATGTGTTGTATGTGTGTGTTGGTGTTGTGATATATGTATGTTCATGCTTGTGTGGGGTTGTCCTTTCAGAAGCTTTGAATTTGTATGAGATTCTCTGATATGACTTCTTAACTTATATAGGACCTAGGATTTTTATTATTGTTATTGTTGCTTTCTTCCTCCCCTCTTTTGTTTTGCATGGACTATATTTTATTAATTTGCTCTTAACTTTTCTGAATTTTGAAGGTCTATTACCTGTATATATTTGTTTGGCATTTTTTATATTTTTCTAACCAAAGACATGAAGGACAGGCAATATCACTGATGGTATTACTGAAGAAGATTCTAAGAGCATTSGTGGAGATAAAATTTATATTTTATTTTTCTCTGTATAAAAAATAAAAACAGAATTTTAAGCTGCATTTATATCCCTCTTCTATTTATTTGTATGTCCAAAATATCTATTTCCATGAATACTTTCAGTCTTTTCTTCAGTAACATGACCGTGACATTGTCTTTAGACCATCACTCCTGAATTGTTGTCTTAAGTACCATATCTTCATTCTCAAGGCCTTTGCCCATCTTGTGTTAGTGTGATGGGATAGGTTTTTTATCTATCAGGATGCACAAGTTAATACTTATTCTTCCCAGTATAGTCTCATTACCTAAGATTATGTGGAAATTGCTATTTTCTGATTATTGTTATAATTTTACTGTAGCCTTGGTGGATGGTTTATGTAGTAGTTTGAAAGTTCATCTATCTTTTTTCATCCTTAATCTCTTGAAAGATATTTTTAGAAGTTGCAGATTATCATAAATGTAGCAAACTTCCTTTTGAATTTGGTACCCAATAGCTATAACTATTGATGGACAGCAAGAATCTAATGTTTGTGTCAAAATCAGCTTCTAAAGATTACTATAAGAAAGCTTTGAGAACCAAATTATGTATTTGTTTTTAAAATATGTGGTGCCTCTTTCCTTAGGTCTGGCACCTGGATCCTGTCATTGCAAAACTGGCTTTGGAGGAGTGAGCTGTGATCGGTGTGCCAGGGGCTACATGGGTTACCCAGACTGTAAACCCTGTAACTGCAGTGGCTCAGGGAGCACAAATGAGGATCCTTGTTTTGGTCCCTGCAACTGCAAGGTACATAGATTATTCTAGTAATGTTCCACGGTCAAGACAGAGGTKATTTTCTTTGGCTCCTCTGTTATGTCTGCTGGCATTAAGCAATTGTAACAACTTCTCCTGATAATATCCACCATCTATTCTATATGTAGTACTTTTATAAGTGTCCTTAAATGCTTAACAGGTTCACTGCAGCAAGATATTTATAAGTCATCTGTCATTTATCTAAAAACTACAAATATACAGAAGATAAGTCACCTTAACAGACTGTGTCATTTTATAACCAAAAGGCTTCCCCCATTGCCCTTATTCTCTGTTAATTGAAAAATACACAGCACTAGATACAGCAATTCTTTAAAACCACAATATATTCAAATCTGTTTCTTCACATGTAATACTTAAAAAATTCTGTCAAGGGTTTCATTCTGGATTTTTAAATAATCCTCTGAATTTTGAACCTAGATAGGTCTTAATATTCACACCATATTCAACTGTTCAGTTTAATTACCAAAAGTATAAGAAGACCTAGTGGAATTGATTAAAGACTCAATATTTTCTCCTAAGACTACTTTTAGAAATGAAATTTTATTTATTGTACATGCTCAGCTAATAGCTCATCATGTACACTCAGAGGGATGCATTACACCTGCAGCTTACACACATAGAAGGAACAGTATGGCATGCTCAAATCTAAAATAAGACATATTTACATTATCTATAATAATCAGCTCCATAATGTTCTGATCAGTGTATAGCTACAGTAGCTAAGAGAGTGAACAATTCTTTGAAAAAGTTAGTATGCCATAATGATACAAAGATAAAAATTACTACTTTTTTCATTTTTTTAAAATCATAGATGGAGGCTTACTAGCCTTACTAGTTTATTAGTCTTTTCTAGAAAGTTTTAAATATTACATGGTTATGGCTGATAGATGTATATCCTTGTATGTGTGAATTCCAACATTAAGCCCTGACAACATTATAAGAAGTAGACAGTGAGTGGTTGAAAATATTAGTTTTAATATTAATATTAGTAGCAAATATTCATTTAATGCTAAATATATATATTTTGAAAAAAGCATATCTAAAATATAAAGCTAAAAATTATAATGGTCGCATAGAATGCATCTATTTTATCAGGGGCTATTTAGTTGCCAATCTTGGGCTATTGAATTTGGAACACTTGGCCAACTTGCTGTCTACATAAGGAAGCAGAAGTCCATGAGGCCATGGTAAAAAGTTGTCAAAATTTACTGCAAGATAGTAAATTTTCTAGATTCAATACATTTTACTCCAATGTTATCTAAAATGAAAAATTGCTCTCATAGACCAAGGTTGGATAGCAGTCTATGAGTGATTACTTGCTTAAGGACATTTCCCCTGTCCATCCTGAATGCTTTTTTTTTGGGGGGGGGGGCGGGGGCGGGGGTTGCAATTTTACAGGCTTTTAGTGCTTCTTCGCTGATATGTACTGAAATGAATTTTGTGTGTGCTTTATTTTCTTTTCCCCAAACTCCATAGAAATCTCTAACCTTTACCACTTGCGCAAATAAATGACAGGTAAGGCTAGGCTTAAAATCGAAGAGAAATGTCCTGAATCTATAGATTACAGGAAGCATTTCATACACCTACCATTTATAGACTGATGGTTTGATGGTGTGCTCAAGGAAAGAATCACAAAAGTGAGGGAGGTAGACCTCATTTTGTTAATTTTCTGTGGGAAATACACTCAGAAAGGCTAGAATAAGGGAGCTGTAGTGTTTGCAGAGCTCCCAAGGAAAGCTCCTTGGGCTCCATGTGCCAGCTCTCTGCCTGACTTAATKTTGTACTGAGAAGTGATTACCATCCTAATAAGAAAAATGCCTCCCACGAAGACACTTGAAGCTCTGTGCAGACAATTAAAATGCACAATAAATAGCAATTAAGAAATCATAAAAGAGATTGAAAAATTAAGTAAATAGCATCATTAAAAGAAATGTCTTTCAGCCAGATGATATTTTAAATAGTAGACTCTCTGTTCTTAAAAACAATTTGGGGGAAATAAAAACGTGTAGAAAACAAGTTTCACAAAATATCTACATAAAGATCACAGGCTATTTGTTCTAGCAGTTCGGATCACAAATACATATCATAATAATTATATCACAATATATTATAATGAATTCTATCACAACATACTGTAATGGAGACCCTATTGCTTCTTCTTTACAAGAATAATAAAAGCTAAATATTTCAGCAAACCACACATACAATTTCAATATTGAAAGAAATACGTACTAATGTAGAGAGAAAAGTGATATTTCCTTCTGTTTCGTGAAAACATGGTTTGTCACAGTGTGTCAACTGATCATTAAAGCAGCATGGACCAAAAAGCTATTTAAGAAGCAAAATATTTGAGACATAAATTCATATAAATTATAGATTTTTGACTGAATAGGAAGAATATGTGTGTATTCATGTGCATATACTATTGATATCAAATTTAGTAATATTAAATAAGTATTTACTTATAAATAGAATAAAAATTACATGTAAAATAATCTCTATAAGTATCATCTTCAACATGAACATTAACTATTAAGTACATGCATACCTATTTCCTTATACTATAAGATAATGAGAATTTTTTTGTAATTTCATTAGAAAGAAATATCTCAAGTATGAAGATGTTTTATTGAAATGCTTCTTTATGAAGTCTTGAGACTAAATTTTTTTTCTAGTGTTAATTTTAAATGACTGATACTTTAAATGCCACACTGAGTTTATGTGGATGACMCCTTTCACATTTCTGCTATTTTAAACACCTAGATATGCTCCGTAACATAGCAAATGGGTTTTAAAACACTTTGATTCATTAAAGAAARGGAATTTTCTAGGCATCAGACCAAGGAAGGAAATTGAAGTTGAGCATAAATTCAAGCAAAACTCAACACTGAGTGAAGTAGTAGGTGTGAGGCTTGTCTTGGTTAAAAGATGGTAACTAAAGTTTGGGTATTTAATACAAAGGACTGGACAGTAAGATTGAGGGAAAATGCAGCTGATTAAACTTAAGGAAGAATACTGCTAATAATCTCTGAAACTGAAAAGGGGTCTAGACCCCTGCAAACCTAGACAGGCAGTTTTTCTTTGGGATTGTGGGTAGTGAAAAATTAGTGCCTATCTCCAAACCGGAATGCCACAGGGGAATGGAGTCAATCTTACTCTCCCTTATATGTCTGAATTCTCCAATAAATCAAGCAAGTGGTTTTCCCATAGGAAAAAGAAACAGAACTACAACTAAAAATGAGTTCACTATAGAGCAGCACAGTGCACAAGATAAAAATTACTACAAAAGGAAATTGGTAGCCATGAATATGAGAATATTTGTACACTAAAAACTAGAAAGCATAGTGTGAAACAAATCATATAATCATAAAACATGTAATCCCTTTTGTCTCATAAATMATAAAACTAAAACTATGTTAAAATGTACCATCATTAAAATATGATCTGAAGATTAAAGAATAAAAAAATAAGAACTAGAAAAATTATATAAAGTAGGGTCCTATGTTAAAATACAAGAATAACCTGGTTTAGAGAAGAAAATTTAAAATATATATAGTCATTAGAAATAAAAAATCAGTCAATAGATATTTTAGTCAGCCTTTCAGACTAAAATAGCCATAAGAAAAACTTAGAGAAGAAAACATTTATTTTGGCTCAAAATTTATTTTGGTATCGGAGGGTCAGGTGATGGTGGGTGAACTCCATGCTCTGGGCCCAAGGTGAGGCAGAACATCATGGCAGATGGGTGTGATGGAGGGATGCTGGGATGTTCTTGGCAKCCAGGAAGCAGAGAGAGAGAGCAGAGTGGGGAACAGGACACAGTGGAGGTGAACCCTTCCAGGGAAGGCCCCAGTGATCTACCCCCTTCCAGCCAGAGCCCACCCGCCTACCAAGTACCACCCAGTCAGTCCATTCAAATTAGGTTAAACTGATTCTGTTTCAGCTCTCACAATCCAATCATTTTACTTCTGAACATTCCTGCATTAACCTAGGAGCTATTGGGTGATACCCTATATCCAAACTATAACAGTGGTTTAAACAAGAGATTAGGTACTACTGGATAGAGAGTAGAAAATACAGTCTAGAGGAAATTGCCTACCAAGTGGCATAGGAAGGTAAAGAAATGATTGAAATAAAAGAAAAGATGAAGTTCAACCTAATTTTAGCAGGGATTTTCACAGAAAAGAGCAGATGATATTGGGTAGAAACAATATTAACTTTAGCAGGGATTTTCAGAGAAAAGAGCAGATGATATTGGGTAGAAACAATATTCAAGAAGCAGTATTCAAGGAATAGCAAAGGATAAAAGAGTAATCAACAAAGAAACCATAAATCCTTAATTTAATGAAATTAAACAAAACAACCCACCAGTAAGGCCCATAGAGAAACCTAATTACCAGCAAGAAAAAGAGAAAAATACTAAAATTAGAGAGGAATAKGGTAATTTGTGAATATTCACCACTAATCTGTCTTCATAGAAAGAAATACTAAATAATGTATGTGCTTTAGTAAGAAGAGTATTAAACACAAAGGTTTTTACTACATTGCAGGATACACGAATCAGCCTATAAAAAACTGTAGCATTTTCTACACAATAATAACAATAGTTATAATAGCAACATAAGCTTTGTGATACCTAGAAATGTTTTAAAAATAGGAGTAATTTTTTAAAATTATTGAAGAATAATAACCTAAAATATAAATGTGGAGATAGTTGATAATACCAAACACCAGTGAAAATCTGGGGAAATGTAAATGTTTACCATTGCTAATATTAAGGTATATTACTAGCATAATTTAAGAAAACAATATGGCATTATCTAGTATCTTTGAGATGACAAAACCCTGTCATCCAGGACTTCACATTTAAACATTTACCCTTAATGAAATTCTTAACTGTATGTTTAAAGAAGTATATAAATGATGTTGAACATAAACCTATTTGCTATAACAAAAAGAAAAAAATATAAATA